TTTATTAAGAAGCATTGGCCCACAACGCCTTTGCAGTGGTATTAGGCTTATAGTAAAAAACTACACAACAATTTAATTGATGATACGATTATTACGGGGAAGTATGTTGCTACATCGAATTCTCTTATAGCAACAGAAATGCCACTCAACTTCAAAAGATTACAGTTTCTTGCACGCTTGGCATTTGCTATGAAATTAATAAATCCGAAATACAAACCCTTCGTGTATGCGGACTAAATTTGGTATGTTCCTGCTTTTCTCATGGTCAACTGTTCCTGTCATGTTCACGCGTTAGACCGAGCTATTTGTTTATTTACGCATTAAAGTATTACAATATATATATTTTTTAATTTTTGATTCTTTTTTCAAACCAACACATATTCGTATATAACATTTTGAATGCATATAAAATCAAAAGGGGTAGCGAAGCTCAACGGGTTCAGCTAGTGTAATATAAATATAGACGAATTGTAATGTATTTTACCTGGAAATTTTTAGGCTACCTTCCAGATCTTTATAAACTTGGTAAATTTCTGTTGGTAGGACAGATGTCAGTAAAATGAACCTCAAAACAAGTTAAAAAGTATCATTTGGTTTTGCCGACAGATTTATACCCTCAACCAACTTCTGTAATGATTATTCAAATTGTTGACCCTCTATGGAGTAGGTTCCGAGGAAATGGGCCAATTTTGTCCATTTCGTATCGGACCTAAATAAATAAAATATAAATATTGCGACGTGTCCGGTTTGGACTTTATTGGTTACTTCAATCACTTTACATGAGATAAGTGATAATTTTTAGAAAATATTAAAATGTACATAAGGTAGCGCATATATACTTTATCTTACACAGATGAAACTATTGGTATGGGCAAAATTACAAGAAACTCGTAAATTCCATATTCATTCCAGGTTTCTGATTGAGAGAAGTATTTAGATAAGTCAAGTTGTAAAGAATCGCTGACTTGTTTCGCAATTTATGACAGATAAAAGTATTGAAAATTGTGACCCTTTGTGGGTGAGGTACCAGCAGGGGTTCGCAGATATGTACCATCTTCACCACAGATCTTGTGTTAGCAAAAATTTTTGCATGTGTGAAATCTGAAGAGAGTTGAATGCTTATTTTTCGCTTTCTTTGAGTGTTTCGTTATTGTATAAGCATCATAGATGTTCAAAATGTTGAGCCGTTGTGGGGGAGGTACCAGAAGGAGTAGACCGATATGTCCCATCTTTACAGACGATCTTGTGTTAGTAGAAGTATTGAGATGTGCGAAATTTGAAGACAATCTGATGATTTTTCAGATTTTATAATCGTTTAGGTTATTCAAAACTTTGTGGGGGAGTTACAACCTTTCCTTTCTGTGCAGTTTTTTTTTTTGATACTTTCGACCTTTTGCCAATCTCCGAACTTCATGTAAGTTTGATAATAAGATTGCACCAAATGGGATACTCCCTTCGAGAGTTATCGTGCGCACCAGCCGGACAGACAGACATACGGACGGACAGAAATCGCTACATCGACTCCAAATGTCTTGAAACAGATTTGGTCCAAAGAGACATAGGGTCTAAAACCGTTATTTCGACTAGGCACGTTGTGACCGTATAAAATTGTATATACCCTCTCTAGCCACAGGGCTGTGGGTATAATAATCAAAAGTTGCTAACATTAAAGGTAGATTTACCGTTTCGCATTTTATGAGAGTTATAATTAGATTGTGATACAAATCTTCAAAAAAAAAGTAAATAAATAAATAAAATAAATCTAAATAGAAAAAAGAAAGTTGTATTAGTTACTACGCTTATAACTCAAGAACTGCGGACTGATTTTAACGATTCAGACAAATTCGTTGACGAATAAAGCCAAATATCGTAGACAAGCAAATCATATAGATGAGTCTAAATTTGGATATTCAGAGGGGCGTCTTGCTTTTGAATATGATCGCAAAATATTTAGGGGTTCAATTAGAACAAAATCAGAAAAAATTTCCTGATCACACAATTGAAACCAATCGACACGCCTGTGAATAGAGTTAAGGACAGGGAAGAATTCTAGCATTTTGGATGACCATTGGATTGTATTTAGCTGTAAAATGGGCTGCAACAACTAACAGCCCGACGGAGTGCATAAATATTGGGCAAATGTCCCTAGTCAAAATCCAAATTTCAAAAGCGAAATCTTCCATTATGGATTTGGACATAAGGGGGCTTCTAACATATTGTAGTGTTGTAGGGTATAACATAGTCGGCCCCGCACGACTATAGCCTTTGCTCACTTGTTTTTTTTTTTAATTTTGCAGACTACATTGAAGTGTACATTTTTTATTGTTTTGTTTTCTGAATGAATAATATCAAAAATGAAATGAGAGCGCAATACGATGTTAAATGTCGATTTTTCATTTCTAATATTGGCATCTAGCTTTCAACTCCAGGACCTACACCGTGCTTCAGCTGGAAGATGCGAACACATTTTAACAAACGAAAACAACCGACAAAGCGTTATGGGGCTCCTTTCAAAACTTTCATGTGACAATAATCCGCCCAATAAGAACTCAAAATACAAAATTCATTGGGACTGCAATAAGTGAAATACCGAATGTAAAGGCTGCAAAAACACTAGAACGAATTGGACATTTAGTAAACTAAACTAAACTTTCAGGATACCTTAAATAGCTTTTGTAGGTCATGATATGGGTCATATCACCCATATAAAGGTACAACCCGATATCAAGTATATTTTACATTTTAACCATAGTTTTTATACTAATTTTGTCAAATGTTGGAAATTTGAGAAGAAACCATCCTTGGAAAAAATCACACCTTTTTGGTATAATCGGGGTCTTGGCCACTTCCTTAATTTTTTGTGCTCTTATTTCTTTGTTTCTAAGGGTGTAGAATACCACTTCTCATAAAATTTTCAATTTTCTATATAGGGTCCATCTTGGTTTTTACCACATCCATCAATTGATTTGGCTAAAAAATTGTATTTAGGCTACTCTGGGGTAGAGAACCATCTTATAGGTAATAGTCCACATAGGCTTTAAAAAAAATGTGCCATAAAGACTTAAAATACGGGCCGACAACGCGGACCGGTTCAGCTAGTAAATAAATAAAACACAATTGTTCTAATGTGCCAATTCGGGTTTGTGGGTTCCCACAGTGGGTTCCCTTTGGTGTTTCTGGGTTTTCTGGATTTTTAACTTTAAACGTTCATAACTTCTATTTTCAACAACAGATTTCATTTTTTTATAAAATGCGGAAAGAGAATCTGATCCATTCTAAACCTCAAATATTTCAATATTTCTGCTAACACAAGATCTTTTGTAAATGTGGTAGATATCGGTCCACACCTTCTTGTACCTCCCCCATAAAAGGGTCAACACTTTGAATAACAAAACGCGAATAAAAGCAAAATAAGCATTCTCTTAAAATATCATACATCTTAATGTTTCTACAAACGAAAGATCTGGTGTGAAAATGGGATGCGTCAGTTCACTCTTTCTGGTACTTCCCACCCAAAGGGTCACAATTTGCAATACTTATATCTCTCATAACTTGCGAAACAAGTCAACGATTCTTTTTAAACTTGGTATGTCTTAATATTTTTCTCAACCAGAGAACTGGTATGGATATGGAATTTATCGGCTAACTCTTCCACCCACCTCTCCCACAAAAGTTCAACATTTTGATTATTCGTCTAAAGTTGGAAATAAATTTCGGAATAAATAGAATACTTCGATCGGTTATGTATGGTACCTCATGCATATTTCAACATGAAAACATTTTTCCAGTGAGAATTATCAGACTCTCACTTACTGGACTTTTCGCTGATCGAACAACATGTTAAAAATTCTTCGATTATTAAATAATATTAGAATATCGTACACACCCACAATTATATACTTGCATAAAGTTATAAATTTAATGACATGACTAGTACCGCCTAGATTCTAACCCAAAGTAGAAGGTATTGTTAGTGCTACAATATGTGTTATCCAAGTCGTCAAAAGTCAAGTCTTGAACTAGAAGTAACAATGACGCCATGATCCACACGAGTGTTGTACCAATAAAACAGCCCCGTAATAATTCCTTTTCCATTTTTTTCGTTTCTCGTTAATTACAGCAATTATGTTTTGTAATTTAAATTTAACTGATTGTATCTCTTCAACATGTCCAGGAAAAAAATCTTATCACGTTTATAGCAACATGAAGACTGTAATGCGCAACATAAGAGCATGAGAATTCCTTGTGCTCTCTGTTAACAATACGATTCGAGTTGGATTAACAGCAGTAGTCCGCGTGACATTTGTTACGCTCTTTTATAAACAAATGTTATGCTCACATCGAAAAAGGTCAGGCTAACTCTCTTTTACTCTCTGTAATTTTTATCTCCGTCTCGAGAGAAATTTACAGACTTCAAAATCTGTTAACCGCTTATTGGCGATGGATAAAAAAACTGCTGGTGAAAATGTTATTTGAATAAGGAACAGCAGCTGTATTCACAAAACTAAACAAATAAATGACAGATGTATGCAGACTACATGCGAGAGAGATAAAGAGTGTTAACAATAAGAAAATAAACTTTGCCGCTATAGGCCGCTAAAGCAGCCATAGGTGAATGCGGGCATGGAAATGCTAAAAAGAAATTGAAGGATTCTTTGAACTTATAAAATATATAATTTAAGCAAAATAATCTAAGAAATTAACAATGTCAATTGTTTCCAACGACATTTTTTATTTTCATTTAATTTTCGCATTTAATTTCTCTCCATGACTTTTTTTATTTTGCAATTTGCATGTGTACTTGAAAGCATTAACTGTGACAATTGTTTTTTTAAAACAATAACAGAGAACTTATGCAGTTAACAGAGCTTGGGCACGCGCTCTCTGCCCAAATGTTAGCCGTTGCTTACTCTCTGGAGAGCACAACAGAACAAAAAGAGCAAAGTGCTCTCTCGCTCTCCCTCTGCAACACAGATGATGACAGTGTTTGTGTACCTTTAGTTAAGGAAAGATCTCTGTTGCAAACGGACTGATGTCACGGATGACAGCGGGATTTGCGAGCGCTTTTTATCATCCAACATCTAGCTTGGTGGATTACAGTTTTCGGTGTTTCTTTTTAACCAGTTTGCTTAACAACAAAGTGCGGTGAATAATAAATACCAACAACAACAAACAAAACGTAAACAATACAATTAATAATTATTGTTGTGAAGCATAGAATAAATAAAAGGAAAAGGCACGAAAAGAAAACAACAAGAAATAAATTGCCAAAATCAAAGAGTGAATGGATAAAACGAAATAGCAATAACATTATAAAAAATGTTATAACAAATCCGTTAATAAAAAAACAACAATAGATCACAAAACGAAATACCAACATAAAAGGTAAATGAAAAAAAATTAAAAATTCCGTAAATACAATTCAAGTAAGAAGTGTCCGAGTTGTGATAAAGTGATTGCCATTGTGAATCTTGAATTTTCCTTGGAAAAATGCTAAGGAAAATGTATGTGGATTTAACACCAATACTACATTGGCAGTGTAATTTGAGCCAATACAAACCAGCAGCAATAAAATCCTGATTATAATTCTTCTTCTTCGTCGTCGTCGTCGTCATTATTATCAACATCTCCTACGTCTCCTACTTCTTTAACCCATGTCAGACTTAATGCGCTTGGATAATTTACTGAAAAACCACTAATATCAGTGTATGGTTATGTCTATGAGTGTGTGTTGGTTGGATTACAGGTAAAAAAGAAAAACAGAAATGCCCCTACCGACCAACGGACGGACGGACACATCGACATACGGTCAAGACCACAGAGTTGAGAAAAAACATACATTCATATCACGGCATCTGAGTAGAGTCGAGTTTGGATAACATGTCGGCCATCTCATCACTCACTGACAGTAACTCTGGCTGTCCAGCCAAAGATCTGAGTTACTTTGCTGCTGTTGCTCTGCTGCTATTTCAACGAAACGGTTAGCCAAGTATGTGAGTGAGTGAACTCTACGAAATAGGTATGTGTCTGAGCTCTCAAGCGAACCAGAGAGAAAGAAAAAAACAAAACTATCAAAAGCAACAACGTCGTTGTTAAAAACAATAACAGCAACAACAACGGCATCAGTAAACAACACCATGGCACAATAAACGTGAATGCTAAGACGGCATTGTTGTTGTTATTATTATATTTGTTGTCGTCGTCGCCGCTGTATACCTGTCAAACTGGTTCTCAATAATCACCGAACGCGCTTACCAACTACTTTATGATTACCTCTGTTTGTTGGAGTGTGTGTGTGTGTGCGGTGTTGCTGGCTTGACGAACTCACCTTAAGTCGTGTTTAAAGTGGCCACGCTCCTTGTCCCCCCGCCACAACAGCGGCAACCTCCTTTGCCGTTGTCTCTACAACATCGTCACTGCCACTATCACAACAATGCCGTTGTTGCTTGTCATCGTCACTATTCGATTGTTGGTGTTGCTATTGTTGTTGTTGCAAGTGTTGTAGTCTTTGGCCCGTAGTAAGAAATTCAGGTTTTATGCTTTGGCTTGGTTGACTGGCTGGCTCCGTGTCTGTTTTTATACCCTACACCACAAGGTGGTCAGGGTATTATGTCTTTGTGCATTTGTTTGTAACAGGCAGAAGGAAACGAGTTAGACCCATAGTTCCTTTTGATGATCTGCATAGAATCACATTCTGAGTCGATTTATGCATGTCCGTCCGTCCGTCCGTCCGTCCGTCTGTCCGTCTGTCCATGTATTTTTGTAAACAAAGTACAGGTCGCATTTATTGCCCGATCCAGATGAAATTTTGCACAGATCTTTTGTTTGGCCCAAGGACGAACCCTATTGAAATTGGAGATAATCGGTCAAAATTTAGATATAGCTCCCATATATATCTTCGTCCGATTTGCCTTTTATTGTGCACCAAACGTGTAATATCAGCCCGAATTGTATGAAATTTTACATATACACCCAAATTGGGCCTGAAAATATGTATGCCAAGTTTGATCGAAATCGGTTCAGATATAGCTATAGCTCCCATATATATTGTTCATCCGATTTGTTATTTTTGTCCACCGCCGCCGTAATATGCACTCTGCGACAACAATATTTGGGGAAATATATCAAATACAGCTCAGAAATACATTTGCTAAATTTTATCGAGATCGGTTCAGATTTGGATATAGCTCCCATATATAACTTCGTCCGATTTACCATTTATTGTGCACCAAACGTCTAATATTTGTCCAAATGGGATGGAATTTGGCACTTAAGACCGAATTGAGTCTAGAAGCTAGTATGTCAAATTTGGTGAAGATCGGTTCAGATATAGCTATAGGTCCCATATATACTGTTCATCCGATTTGTCATATTTGTAACATGCACTCCGTAACAACGATATTCAGGGAAATATATCAAATACAGCTCAGAAATATCTTTGCCAAATTTTATCGAGATCTGTTCAGATTTGGATATAGCTCCCATATATATCTTTATCCGATTTCAAATTAATTGTGCACCAAATGGACAATACAATTCCGAATTTAAAAGATACAAATGTTTCGGCATATTTAGTCCTTTGAACTTTAAATTACAATTATAATCAGCGTGTATGATCAAATTCTCCCATAAAATCTTATAATGGTTATGTGGAGCTCTACAAAATTAGCAAAGTGGTGTAGGGTATCATAAAGTCGGCCCAGCCCGACTTTAAGACTTTCTTTACTGGTTTATTTCTTGTGACTGTGTTATTGCCAGTTTCTTTTGGGGAGTTTAAACGTTTCTTAAGAAAACGAATGGGAGAAGAAGAAGAAGATGAAGAATGAATGTACAAAATACAATGAAAAATGAAGCCAAGACATACAAGCAGCAACAACAACATCAACATCAAGTCCATAAAGAAAGAGACAAATAAAGTCGAGATGAAAAACAGACAGACAGACAGACCAACTCACAAAATGAAACAGACAAACGAGTTTTGTCTTTGATTTTTGTTTTCTTCTTTCTTGTTTATGTTTATGGCCAAAAGTGACGCAGTGATAGAAAACAAAAAATAAATACGACACAAGCAAAATTATGTTGTTGTAATTTCCAACATATCCATCTATATACACTGCACGAAATAATTCCAATTGACATTTCTTTGCTATGGGGTAACAAAATCAATTGGAAAATATTATTTTCCTTGGTGGTTGTTTATTCGCTCAAGAGCAAATTTGCTGAATTAGAAATAGGAGCGGACGAAATTTGGGGATATCCTTATGTGCGTGAATAGGTACAATTGGCACAATTTTTTGTAATGCTCTTCGGTATCATATAGGGAAATCCGTTATCGTTGTAAAAACTTTTACATTCTTGCAGTTGTAGAGCAGACCTATTATTAACAGAGTATTATTTTTAACGCATCAACTCTAACCTTACGACAATCATCAAAAATTAGTTGCGTCGATTGTAATGTACCTTATGAAGTTGGGATATACGCCCAATAATGAAAACATGATTTCTTTGGTTCCAAAATTTTTGTCCTGACTAAATTCACCCAAAACATGGTTTCAGCTGGTATTCCGACAGATATAAACCCTCAGTATTTGACCATATATTTGTGTATAAGCTTTGGGGCGTACAATAAAAATTGGACTTCTATATCCCACGTTTTCACTATCTAAAAAATCAAATAAGCCCAAAAAATCCATCTTAATGTGAGATTTAATAAAAATCAGCATCAGATGACACATTTGACGAGAGTTATTATTATTCCAAATTGACTCATAAATAAATGAGCCGATATTTGTCATTTTCACATCCAGCTTGCATAAATGTAGTATCGACCATATTCACATTTGACCTATGTTCTAGCTTTATATTGCGATGTGCCAAGTTTCATCTACATCAGGTACTCCCGTCGCTCATTATAAGATTTTGCCGCTTTTTAGGTAAAATATTGATCTTTAGTGGAGGGTACCTGGAAGAGTTGATCGATAAATACGAATTTCACACAAGCTCTAATATAGGCCAGAATATTACGTAAGCTAAGTAAATTTTACACATATTTCTTATATCACGGGAATTATTTTGGCCTTTTGGGGGACGTACTGAATGAAGTGGGCCATTTTCGCACATGACCTAATGTTACTACCCAATAATTTTGAACTATATCGGGAACTGAGCGAACACTTAATATATTTGATTTAATAAAATTTCGAACTTTTAAGGGAATGGTATTAGAGAGAGGTTCTTAAAAAAAATTACGATCGTCTCCAATGTTCTGAAATGGATTTCGTCCAAAGAGACCTGAGGTCTAAACTCGATATTTCGATGAAGCACTTCAAAAAAATAATATATACCATTTGTAACAAATTAAATAAATATATTTTGAAAATATCAGATCAAACTGTACGATCAGCCTTGAATGGACCTATTATTATTAGATTTCCGTAGGGTCTAACATACATATGTGATCGACTCGTGTTTGATATATTCTCTATGAGCCACTTTAACCAGCTTAATACTCTGAGAAAGATAAATATAAGACAATTTTGTGTCTTTCTGGTACGAATTACTTGAAACCAACTATTTCGGGAAGGATATAGGGGAATTATTTGGTGCACGAAATGAAAATTACATTTTTGACACTATTTTTCCCATATCCCTGAAACTGTTCTGCAGCAATCAATACGAATAGTTATTGGCAAGGGGGAAAGTCTAATATCTGAGACTGCGGAGTAACAATTGCTATCCACTGGATTTCAACTCATTGCTGACCATGTCTTGTCGAGTTTTATGGTTCTTTGAAAAATGTTGCAATCGTTTTAGTTAACGAAAAGAAGGAGTCGTTAAAATGCATTTTTATTTATAGAATAGTTAGGCTTGAGCCAATATAACCTATGTTAGCGTTAAGGTCAAAATCAATCAATACAGTTTCCACCAAATACATTGCATTACGCTATTTTCCAATTTCGTCCCATGGAACGATTTAATATCAAGTCCCCAGCAATGGGTTGGAACTATATATCAATACATCAAAAGACGATTCTGGGCTCAAATCTAGACCACAATCGTTTCAAAAAAAAAAATATATTGAAAATGATTCCCAGCCAAACCGCTCACTACCAAAAAATGGGTTTATTAAGTATATTTTGGCCCCAGTAACTATTTATAACACTGGATCCTAATATCTTTATTTACTTTCGATATTTCATAGGAAGTAAGTACCACCAAGAGTCAATAAATAAAGGTGAGGATTCATAAGCATCGTTACATGGTATATTAAGATCAAAATATAAGTAAAAACGACGCCAGAAGTCGAGAGTCGCTTATGTTTCCTCATCTTAATCTCAAAATGCAGTCATTCTATTTTCAGATCAGATTTGATTTTGTATAATAGGAATAATGCATTATTTCTTTTTTTTTGCAACCTTTATACTTTTTGATTTGATCTAAATGGTCACACATAAATTTAAAATTGTCGATCGACTCTTTGTGCACAATAAACATGGTGGTGCATCACTACAATTTATTTTTATTATGACACATTTATGTTTATTTACCCTAAATAATTCAGCTGACGATGACTTGCACATTTTTTTTTGCGACAATGCACCAACTAATATCACTCATTAGTCCTGTATTTGTTTGACAACCCCAAATAGCAAATCGGTTTTGCAACATTAATTTTATGGCGATGTCGAAAGTGTATTGACAACAAATGATACATTGTGACACCGAACTGAAGTAATCCACCCCTCACAGTTACCTGGGAAATTTCACACAATCACGTGCGATTGTCGGTTTAATCCCCTGTGACAGTTAGTCTGATTTAAAATCGTACACAGGGGTTGTACCAACCAAATTTATAATCACATAATTCGGAATATTTTGGAAAAACGGAACATCATAGAAATGTATGATACCCTGTTTTGGACAGTAGTCTTCCAAAAATTAACCCCAAAACTTGCCGTTGTAATAAATAACTATTTTATAATCTTTATGATCTCAAATGTGGCATCATAATTTAGGTTTTAGTATTTTGAAATCCGAGCAAGGATTGTAAATTTACATCTATCTCTTCTTGATAGTACTATGCTTTTTTCGATAGAGAGATAGAAGACTGGTATAGAGGATTAAAAATTTTGGTTTGTTTGAACACCCCAAAAAGTTATTTAAGGTTGCTCGCTATTATGATTTGGAAAAAACAGTTGAAAGTTCTGGTAAGGTTGCTCGCTATTATGATTTGGAAGAAACGGTTAAAAGTTCTGGTTTCAGTATTAGATGCGGTAATTTTTTATAATTTTGTTGAATTCAATCGAATTTTGTGTGGCATATATTTATGGCGGGACAGAACTTGTGTATTCCTCCACATAGAAAGTGGGAGATTGGTTTATTTGCTGCTCAATTAGTCTTTTGTTTAACAGCCTCGGATAGATTTGAATAACAGCCTCTAAATCTTGATAGTTTTCATCTCATATTTCTGGAGGCCATATAGTGGAGCTGACCAAATACGATGGTTGTCGCATTCGATATTTTCGATATATTGCTTTTATAATATCGATAATATCAGTTAATATATAATATCAGGAAGTATGACTTAAAACATATGCTCTGTTCCAGTACCTGCAAGAATCCATTAGTTTTCTATTTCTTCTATATCATAAAAGGAAAATCTCTTATCGTAGTAAAAATTTTACAATCTTGTAGTTCTGGAACAGACCAATATTCTCTTTGCCCATATAAATCAATATTTTCGATAATTGACAAAGTTGTTTAAATTCATTTAAGACCCCTATAGGAATTGGTGGTAATCGGTGCAGATTTGAATATTGCACCCATATTTATCTTCGCCCGACTTCCTTTTTATTGTACGCCAATGCTTAACATTTGCCCAAACAGAAAATGTTTTGTCATAAACGACCATAGAAGTAAGTCTATGGAATTTTGTGATCTGTTCCAGAAGTGCAACAATTTAAAAGTTTTTACTACGACAACCGATTTTCCCTTTATGATATCGAAAAAAATTGCAAAACTAGTAGATATTTGCAGGTTCTGGAACATACCATTTGTAATTGATCTTCTTCCTACGCCTAAACTTAAAATCAGGAGTTACTTCCAAACCCTAGCATTATCGATTGTTTACCAGCTATACCAAATAGCCGTCACGTATGACACCCGCAACAAATCGGGTATTTTTGGGCAGATGTCAGATCAGTTTTTTTCGGGAGAGTAGAATAGTCGAAAGTTTAAAGGAATAAGGTGGATCGATTGGTATTCAAATATAACTATCAATTTAAAAAAAAAAATGAAATCGATATCGAACAATCCCAGAGTAATCATGTATTGTAAAATGTCATTGATCTGATAGTATAGAGCTTCAATGTCTTCAGAGCGGTCTGATTATCGACATATGTACTGGTTATACACTGGTTCTACCATCAACACAACATTTAGCCTTCTTATAGAAACAGCTTCACTCTGGAAGACACCAAAATCGCTTCGAAGTATCCTTGTAAAGAATTAAAAACTATGCAAGACTAATACTTCTCGGGCCACTCACTCCTCAAGGTACTTGGGTATTCCTCAAGGTGCTTGGCTAACTTAGAGGCACAAAACTTGGCCTTGCCGATCCACTGGCAAAAGTCGAAATTGAATTTTAGACTTTTCAATACCAAAAGTTGGTGAAACGAAATGCGACATACGATAATAGAATCGATTACTGTTCACATCGTTTTTTAAATGCACTGCACTCTAATAGGGCTATTTATAAATATTTGGTCTGTTCCAGTACTGCCAACATGTAAAAATGTTTACTACGATAACCGATTTTCCCTTCATAATATCGAAAAAGATAGTAGATTTTTTGAGATTCCTCAACAGAGCAAATATAAATACACTCTTAATTTGTTATTCGGACGGTAGCAATCAGATTTGCTTGCCCAAAAGCTGACAAATACTAGGCCCCTAAATAGAACATTTTTTCCGCAACTAACAACTTTTATTTTGTTTTATTATGCCATATTTTTGACAAAATAGTGAAATGAAAAGTTATTATTACATTTTTACAATCGAAAGTTCTCCTGGATTTTTATTACTTCTGGTTTCCCACATAAATTATAACATCCGGTTAACCCATTAATTCACCGGACCCTATTTTATTTCCTCGAATGATGTGACAAAATTTTCAAGAGTGTACAACATGTTTTCCTATTACCTTCTGACGAGTTGGAGATATAAAAATCCAAGACAAAATACACATTTGAGCCCACCATACATAAGTGAAACTGCTTCTTGGAAGCCTAAGCAGCGGCTACACGGTGTTTGCTGTAGCATTGGTCATGGCGTCACTTTTCCCAACAACGCAAGAGCAGCGACATCACAATTGCTGCTGCCGCTGCTGCTGGTTGGTGTTCTGTTACCAATGAAGCCTTCCAAGCGCATTTACCAACACATACAAATGCTACGGACTACAACCCTGACAATCCCGTATTCAACCAAAACTAACCAAACATGAACTCTAATGGGCCAACTGATATTGTTGTTGCTGTTGTTTGTATGCCTTGATAAAGGCTGTTGTTTCACAAACAAGCCCTGAATTCAGTTAACCCCCTTGCTTGGGATCTCCCCATCCATAAGACCACTAAATGATGACGATTTTCTTTTCTACCTGGCTCTCCAACATACATTTATGTACGTGTGTGTGCGTGCGTGTAAGTTCTTGGCTTTTTAACATTTCCTTAGGTTTGGGCCAAGAAGTGCAACACAAAATAAAGAAAACGATCATGGAGAGGGAGAAGAAGAATAAATAACACCGTGATACTTCTTACAAGATGATTTGTCCATGTATGTGTCTATGTGTGTTCTACAACATAATTAATGTATTTTTTTTTTCTCTCTTACTATCCCCTTTTTAGATTACAGAAGTTCTTGTGTGCATTCCTAGATATGCTTGTATGTGTGTAACCGAAGCCGAAACCAAAAGAGAAGCAAGAAAATAAAATGCAACAAAAAGAGTGACAAGCAACAAGTCAACAAGTTTAAGACCAGTTTAAACAATGTAAAAGAAAACAACAAGAGAAAAAAAACGTGAACGTAAACGATCGGTGATCTTTGGCCACCATACCCCCCGTGTAAAGAATAGTGGGGAAGGGTTTCGAACGGCCATTTTGTTTTTCGTTTATCGCTTGCTTGCCACAAAATATCGGCATTTTGAATGATAACCAACCAAGACCATCGTTTTGTGCCACATCGATTTGCAAGGAAGCAAACATGATGACCTAAATAAACAGCGAAAAAGTGCATTCAAAACTTAAAAATTTTACCAAACAAAACCATAGTGAAAACCATTAAGCAGGGCATCCATGCAAAATACGAAACGAAAAGCTCAGCAAGATGAAGTCTTCAAAAACTTAGCGATTACTTTTCCTTAAAAAAAAAACAATCCCTTCTCTTTCTCTCTATCGCGTTAACGTAACGTAAATCATTTCTAACTAAAACTAATCCAACAGATTTCAGTGAAACGCCAAAAAAGTGCAATATTTTTCTAAGGCAATTCAATTTAAAAGCTCACATAAAGTGTAACTTTAACAAAAATAACAATCGAAAAGTTTTGAACGACAGCAAAACGCATACATTGTTGTCACCATTGGCGGGTAAAAAAACACAAAAACACATACCCAGGAGAGAAGGCACTTTGTTGTCATCATCCATCTAACCCACCTACGACTGATTGAAAATAGAAATTTTAATTCCGTCAAACGGACAAACTCCCGGCGAATACCAACGACATCATCAACGTCCATACAACATCAGCTACGTCTAAAGTCTGCTGCAAACAGAATTTACAACTTTTGCAACAACAAGAATAACACAACAACAAAAAATCACTGTGATACTCTTTACAAGGTATCACACACGCTCTCACTCCATTGTAGCTGCAGCTCTCCATTGTGTTGTTTGCTTGCGTCCAGCACTTGGGAGGAGGACCATTCTCGTCAAACAGGATGGCAACTTGGAAATACTTTTTGATCGGTGAGTACTGGGATTTGTTTAGAACAAATTCGTTATGACAAACATTATTCGATTGCCGAGCCAAGCGGGCATCCAGGCAAGCAGGCAGTCAGCAACAGCAGTGACTAGTAGCTACATATTAGCTGGGAATAGCAGTGACTGACTGACTGGCTGGTTGGCTGGCTGGCTACTGTTTGTTGCTGTTGTTATTTCGTTCTTTGAGACAGGGCAACAAACTTATTTTTTTCTTCATTCTTACAATACTTTACTTCTTACTGCGAACTTATATTTATAGCTCAGCTCTTGGCTTTCTAGACGCTCTGAATGTGTTGCGTACGTGATTTGCAATATCAATCTGAACACAGTTACAGTTCTGGGAGCTGATTTGTTCTCTCCAATTCAATACGTTGTCCATGTTAGAAAGTTCTTCGATGTGTTTTTTTTTTCGAAATAGTTTTTTTTTTTTTATTGGTAAACGTTAGCAGTAATAGTTTTGAAATTAGTTTCACTATTGAGGTCATGAAAATCTTTGAACCATTGCATGAATTGGGGTGAAGGGTGTGAGCAAGAATTTAAAAGGGAGAAGGATTACAGGAATCGATATATTTAAGTTCTATTAAAGGAATAAAGACCGCCAAGAACAACGGAGGATTTAAAACCATATTGAAATTTCAGATATCGAAAGGTTTATATAGACGAATGGGTTATAGTTGTCCAATGGGGGTTTTGAGTGTATCCAAATGAAAGAGAGTGAGAATATATCTGCTTCAGATCTAAATGGGATATATATTCGGATTTACAATCTTTTCACAGAGGTCTTCTACATTATAAAACCCGATTTGAGATATTATACAACAATTGGAATCTGCCGAATAATACGATTCCCTTAGACCACACTGTGTAACACAAACTATAATTAGAGGAAAAACTCTATAGAATATGGAAGTAGAGCTAAAAATAGAAGATACCTCTATCGCAGTCTGTTTCTTTACAAACTGCTGGACAACGAATGTTTCTCATCGGCGAAAACCAAATTCGACACTTCACCACTTACGGCCAAGCGATGCAACTCTTTAGCTCTTTTGAGTCTATTTTGTTGCAGTGTAAGTTCTTGCACTGTTTGGAATTTCAATGATTTTACCCCGAGCTCATTTTTCAATATTTGCCGCATGGAATATTGCGATATTCCCATTTCTGCTGATGTTGCGGTTTTCTACCGTCCACTTCCTGGACGTCGGGGTATGCTACCAGTATCACGGTAACGAGTGATGGTACGATGCACAAAAGATTTATTCACATTTAAATGCTGGAGTGCTCTAACGATAGCTACTTGTGGTTGTCCAGCCAACTATAAGGAAATCACACTATCACGCTTGAATTCCATTACGAATAACTTTTTTCTGGAAAATTTTAACAGCTGTCGGACGAGTGGCTTAGAACTGACAGCAGTCTGGAGTTGGTTGCAGTTTTTTCATCTCTTCCTGTACTTTTAGTTGCTAGTCTCACCCGACTGAACTCTTCCTCTTTTCACTAGCTCTAACTGAAATTCTATTTAAAGCATCATCATCTATCATCTGTCGATTTATCCAAAATGATTTACATCATTCACATTTAGACCTCTTCCGATGAAAGTATTATTTACATTTGAGGATCATGAACAGGATAAATTCAATACAGCAACTCATTCCCCCAATCATCTGGGAGTAATTCACAACATCACTCCAAGAATAGTTTTTTCTTTAAATGTACATATTTTATCATTTAGAATGATGTTTATATAAACTAGTGTTTTAATTAACTCATGCAAAGGAATAAAAAAAGAAACTACCACAAAGAAAATGAAGGAAACAAAGAAAAACCAACCTGGGAGTTCAACAGACTTTGTATCAACACATACACAGATGTACATATATAATCTTCTATGCCACCAGGGGTGTTTATCCATTAATTTGTGTGTTTGTGTGTTTTTTTTTTAATTTTTCATTTTATACAAATATAAAATGTTTACCTTAATGATGGAAAACATTCTACAACATTGTATTTTCTTCGATGAAACGGATGGTATAAATATTTATTAATTTTTTGTTTGAGAACACAGATTTTCTCCGAGAAGATTTTTCAATACAATATTAAGACTTTTAGGATTTTTTTTTATTTTTAATTACTTAAAGACGATGAATTAAGTAGTAACAATGATATGGGTTGAGCTATATATGGAAGACAATTTTTTCTTATTTTCCGCACAAATCCAGCTATAACTGTATTTAGATGACGAGATTATTCCTATCTATGAAATTCTAGAGAAAATTTAAGCAAAATCGTTTTTATGGCTTTTATCTGAATTTCGGGAAACCTCAGATGGACCTTGTTGTTGCAGAAACACAACAATATATCAATTTCCAAGTTTTCAATATTTAATTTTTTTCTAAACTTCATTGTTTTCCCATTTCCAATTTTAATTTTTCTTGTCCTTGGACCGCTGTTATTGATTTTCCCATTCATCCCTAATAAATTTTAATGATCATTTAATATAATTTTAAAAACACCCACGTGTTGACAATGTAAAGATTTCAAAACAAAATTATATTAATACAGATTTGAGTCTTCTTTTGAAAACAACAGTTCATTCTCTTTGATTGTAACAAAAAGTCACATATGTTTATACTTAAATTTACAGACCGACAACCATTAACAATGCTGAAAATTTTCTCTCTTTTTATTTTTTTATGTTTTTGCACACAAAAAAAGAAGAAGAACAATCTTATGAATGGGAATTGCGAAGTGAGGCAATCATCCCATTCAATCCAGAATAGCATTATAAATAATAAATTATATGTAACAACCTATTAACATGACATTTCTCGGGAATCCATTAAATCCTTGTACACAAAGCCCAGCTCGTACACACACGCATACACATATATAGCTTACATACTTTCACAGCATCCAGTAGTAGCTGTGCCATTGCCACTGTCACTGCCTTTGGCCCACACTCATCATAAATAGATAGATGAGTGAAAGACGGTATGGATGGCTGGCTGACTGGCTAAATGAATATTACTTGCAAGGATCACAGCAAGGACATAGAAAATTGAGGCACTGTGTTACAGCAAGAACAAAACAAGAAATCATTTTTAAAATATGTAAAAAAAATTACAACACGAGAAGACAACAACAACAAACTCTTGAAGATATTCAAAGAACGCATAACCACAAATCTTCTCTATTCACACTTTAATGGGACCTCTGTTGAGAGGATTTCTTTTACACATACTGACACAATTCTTTATTTGTTGCCGTAATTTATGGAGATTAGATGAAAAATGTAAACAAACGTTTGGTTCGGAAGCGTGCGCCAAACATCATGTGTTATGAATGTAAAAACAGATTTTGTCTGGCATACATTTTCCGAAAAGGGAATAAGTTCCAACTCCTTTCTGGAGGACTGCCAAGTGCTGTCTTTCAAATCGGAGCTTAAGTTGTGTTAAGACCTTAAAGTTTTGCCAAAATTTGTTGGTACCAAACGTTAACATTATTAGGGACTATATCTTACCAACACTTCATCTTTCGTTACATCCTCTTTATAATATTATAAGCTTATTTTAATACTTGAACCTTTCATAGTTCTTTTTTCTATGTTGTTTTATCCGTCTTTCTATGAATTTTATGTGGAGGGCGCTGCATAGAGGCTCAGCTAACAATAAAAAACCGGATTCTCCAAAAATACCTATGAAATCCAAAAATTAGAGGCCTATTTAATTTATTGTGGGTTTCCATCTTTCTCGTGCGTTTCCTCAAAATAATCAAGGTTGTTCGTTTTTTCTTGCATGTTTGTTATGTTTCTTGCAAAAACAAATAAAAAAGCTGTAAGTTCGGCCGGGCCGAATTTTGAATACTCTCCACCATTTGCAACGAATTTCGCAATTTTCAAGAAAATAAAATCCGTTAAAAATTCTGTTAAAATCTTAAAAATACCGAATGTAGCCGTTATATGAGGGTCTATACGTTGACCTGCATAGGCAACTTTTGTCATATTCAAATGCGAAACTTGAACGGACAGGGCTAATTTTAACCTGATCAAGAATATAAATACTTTGTTAGGGGTCTAAAACTATTATTTCGACGAGTTACACACGGAATGAGGAACTTAATATATCCTTCATAGTATGTATGGTGTAGGGTATAAAAAGACATGCAATTCAGAAAATACTTAAATGAATGAGCTGGAACTGCATTCTTGTTCTTTGGAATATGAAATGAAAAAAAATCCTATACAAAATATTCATTTGACTTTCTTTTGTAAAGGAAAGTTTTTTTCTGAAACTTGAAAAGTTCATTTGAACTAGTTCGTAATAGAACGACACAACTCAAATGACTGAACTAGTTCAAGAAAACCTTCCGTGCGTTCCATTACTCCAATATTGCCAAGTATTTTATTTCTCTATAAGAAACCCTACAACCATGTAACACTTTCCATATCCACGTATCGAATTTTGTTTCGATTTGAAACAACATTGTTTGTTAACCTTAGATGACTACATTTGAAATATTTCATTTGAACAATAAATTTCAGGCAAAACAATGGCCTATTAAATTGCCAACATTTAACACACACTTTTTGGCATTTTACATTATACGTTTTATTTTACGATTACGTGTGTGTGTGTATGTGTGTGAAAACAAAAATGGCCTTACACATCAACAACAACGGCAACAACAACAAGAACCAAAAAGGAAAGGACTTTGTTTCAATCTCGGTTATTTATTTGCTAACTGTGTAATACAATGTCGTGTTAAATAAATACACACGCAATGCACGAAGATGAAGACGAAGAAGACGAAACCAAACTCTTAATTTTGCACTCATACGCGCATAATTTTATTTCTGGGCCATAACAAGTCGTCGGATGATGACGATGATATCCTTCAAAAGGATATTCCTTGCTTTTGTTTTTTTTTTTGCTTCAAAAAGAAAAGAACCCACATATAACCAATTTTACATTTAAATGTAACAACGAGTG